AATGAGTTCTGGTAGGCAGTATACAGTGTATACAGTGTATACATACTGAATAAATAAATCTTTTTTTTTTTTTGGTTTTTTCGAGACAGGGTTTGGTTTCTCTGTGGTTTTGGAGCCTGTCCTGGAACTAACTCTTGTAGACCAGGCTGGTCTCAAACTCACAGAGATCTGCCTGCCTCTGCCTCCCGAGTGCTGGGATTAAAGGCGTGCACCACCATCGCCCGGCTTGAATAAATAAATCTTAAAAGAAAGAAAAACCAGGCAGTGATGTACTCCTTTAATCCCAGTACCCGGGAAGCAGAAGCAGGCAGATCTCTTGAGTTAGAGGTCAGTCTGGTCTACAGAGTGAGTTCCAGGACAGCCAGGGCTACATAGAGAAACCCTGCCTCAAGAGGAAAAAGGAAAGAAAGGAAGACAAACAGAAAAGTAACTAAAAATGTTAATCCCAAAGATGGGAGAAAAAAAACCAAATCATCATGACTAAATTAATTAAAGCAAACTTTTTTATTTGTGTACACAGGCTGCCTCTCCCTAAGGTGGGGTTTGAGAGGTCAACCTTGGACATAAGGAGGACAAGGTCTTTACAGCTCAGGGTAAGGGGGTTTCCAAATGGGGGATCTGCAGGCAAAAGAGCCAGGGTTTTAAGAGCAGAACACAGGCATTAACAAGATAGTCTTAATGACCTCAAACAAAGACGTGACTGCAAGGTGATCTTAGCAACAGGTAGTCATAACAGCCTTTTGAAACAATGGTAGGTTTGCAAGATGTTTACAACATTTTTTTTCCTTCAGATTCTTTCAAGACGAAGTTTCTCTGTGAAACTGTCCTGGCTAACCTGTAACTCACTCTCCAACCTGTAGCCCAGGCTGGCTTTGAGCTCCCAAATGCTAGGATTAAAGATGTGTGTCACCACCACCCAGCAACTTTTTGAAACAAAGACATGATTGCCATTTCCTGGAACAGGCAGTACAGAATTATTTTTAGTTAAGGTTACAGGTTGGGCATAGCCCAATCCTTGAGAAAAAGAAATTTAATCATAAACAGGAATGAACCTAGTTTGTTTTTATTATAAGATTTGTGTCTTATGTGTCCCTGTCAAATCTTTGATAGGGTCTTAGCATTTTTTTTTTCTGAGACAGGATTTCTCTGTGCAGCTTTGGAGCCTGTCCTGGAATTCACTCTGTAGACCAGGCTGGCCTCCAATTCACTTAGATCCGCCTGCATTTGTCTCCCGAGTGCTGGGAGGTGTGCCACTATTGCCGGTCTGAAAGGACAAATTTTTAAGCACATATAATCTTGGTATGACAATGGGTATTACAGGTAGCTATTTGTCCCTGCTGCCAGGGACTTTCCTTTGGTTCTAACATTCCAGCCCTTTGGAGGAGTAGGGGTGAAGTGGGTGAAGTACTCTACTCTGTAACTATTTCCTGCTGAAATTAGGACACCATTGTCAGGGCCCAGGAAGGATGTATTAGTCAGAGGGAAGAAGGAGATTAGGGCAGTGGGGCATTCATCACAAGCATCTGGTTTGCTGCCCCAGCTGAAGAGACAGGAAGTAATCTCATCAGCTGCACTTATTCACGTGGCCTTCCGCAAGGCTAGGGCTCCTCTCTGGAGCCTGTGTGGTCTGCAGCCAATTTCTGGATGGTGTCCCCCAGCCAAGTGGAACTCTGCCGAGATAGATACAGAACGGGGACCGGAGTTAATGAACTTAAAGGAAACAGAAATTTGGAACTTCCCCTCGGGAATGAACACTAGGCCAGGAAGCTTAGGCTATTGCTTGACAAGAGTGCCTACCTGGAATCCATTTGCTTTGTGAGAGGTGGACCCAAGTCATCTTTTTTATGCATATTAGTCTGTGGGACAATGCCAGATCCTCTGGAACTAGAGTTACAGACAGTTGTGAGCTGCCGTGTGGGTGCTGGGAACTGAACCTGGGTCCTCTGGAAGAGCAGCCAGTGCTCTTAACTGCTAAGACAACTCTCCAGCCCTGGACCCAAGTCTTAAGACTTTCTTGACTCTCTGAAGCCTGTAATATACATTGAAATCCATATTATAGAAAAAGCAGTCAGTGAGTGTCTCTAAAACAGCTGGAGTAGAATCATGCCTTTGATTTGGTTTTTTTTTTTTTTTTTTTTGGTTTTTCGAGACAGGGTTTCTCTGTGGCTTTGGAGCCTGTCCTGGAACTAGCTCTTGTAGACCAGGCTGGTCTCGAACTCACAGAGATCTGCCTGCCTCTGCCTCCCAAGTGCTGGGATTAAAGGCGTGCGCCACCACCACCCGGCAGAATCATGCCTTTGAATAAGAGCAAAAGCTATGGATTTGGGTTAAAAGATAGGGCATTTTTATTTTGTTCAGAATGTATAGCTTGGACTAAGATATTTTTAGCATGATGAGAAGCATCCTTAACTTTTTATTTAGAAGGCAGTCAGAGAGGGCCAGTCTTAAATACTGATCCTCCTTTCTTTACCTACCTCCTGGATGACGTAACAGGCATGTGCCACCATGATTTTATTTTATTTTATTATTGAGACAGAGTTTCTCTCTGTAGCTTTGGAGCCTGTCCTGGAACTCCCTTTGTAGACCAGGCTGGCCTCGAACTCACAGAGATCCACCTGCCTCTGACTCCCGAGTGCTTTGGATTTTATTTTTATATTAAATTTATTTTAAGAAAAGCATCTCAGCCAGGTGGTGGTGGAACACACCTATTAAAGGCACTTGGAAGACAAGGGTAGATAGATCACTGAGTTTGAGGTCAGCCTGATCTACAGAGCGAGTTCCAGGACAGCCAGGACTATACAGAGCAACCTTGTCTCAAAAAAACAAAAACAAGCCGGGCGATGGTGGCGCACGCCTTTAATCCCAGCACTCGGGAGGCAGAGGCAGGCGGATCTCTATGAGTTCGAGACCAGCCTGGTCTACAGAGCTAGTTCCAGGACAGGCTCCAAAGCCACAAAGAAACCCTGTCTCGAAAAACCAAAAAAAAAAAAAAAAAAAAAAAAAGAAGTGGGCTGTAGTGATGGCCCAGCAACTAACAGCACTGGCTGCTTTCAAAGAGGTCCAGGGTTAGTTTCTCAGCACCCACATGGTGGTTGTAGTGGTTTGAATGGACATGACCCCCATACCCCCATAGACTCAAGTGTTTGAATGCCCAAGGTGTGGCCTTGTTGGAGGAAATGTGTCACCACAGGCATAGGCTTTGAGGTCTTATATGCTCAAGCTATGCCTGGCATGGGACACAGTTCACTTCCTGTTGCCTACTGATCACCTCTTTCTCCAGCACCATGTCTACCTGCACACCACCATGTCCCACCATGACAATAATGGACTAGACCTCTGAAACTGTAAGCCACCCCAATTAAATTTTTTACTTTATAAGAGTTACTGTGGTCATGGTGTCTCTTCACAGCGATAGAAACCCTAAAACAGTGGGTCACAGCTGTCTGTTACTCCAGTTCCAGAGGATCAGAAGTCTTCTTCCAGCCTCTGAGGTCACACAGGGCATTTACATACATGCAGATATATGATATATATCACATATATATATGTATATATATGTCATAGACTTTTTTTTTTAGAAAAAAAGGTCTCATGTAGCTTCCTGGATATTCTCTTATTTACATACATTGTGTATGTGCACACATACGTGTGTATGTGTTTATGTGAAGGCAGAATGTGTCAGATCACAACTTACAAGAGTTAGTCAGTTCTCTCCTCCCATGGGGAATGTGGGGTTTTACATCAGGTCTTCAGGCTTGGCAGCAAATGCCTTTATCTTCTGAACTACCGAGGGGGGGGGGAGGGAGGAAGTCTCCAGTATCGACCAGAGAGGTCTCTCTATTTCGAGACAGGGTCTCATTGGGTAGCCCAAGCTGGCCTGAACTTGCTTTGTAGCCCAAGCAGACATTGAACTATTTAGATCCACCTATTTCTGCTTCCCAAGTGCCAGGATTAAAGGCATGTGCTTCCGTGCCAGTTTTTGCTGTTGTTTTTGTAAATAAATGTTGTGTGTGTTTTGTCTGTATGTATATATATATATATATATATATATATATATATATATATATATATATATGTACCACGTTTGTGCTTGGTGCCTGCGGAAGTCAGAAGAGGGTATCGATCCACTGGAACTGGAGTTATGGATGGTTGTGAGCTGCTGTGTAAGCGGTGAGTACTGAACCTGCGTCACCTGGAAAAGCAGCAAGAGCTCTTGGCGCTGAGCCAGACCTTCCTAGAGAGAAAGACACAGGCCCACGTCAGAAGTGAGGAGACTTGGTCAGGGATCAAGGGTTGGGATATGATTTAGTAGGTTTCTTGGCTAATATGGGGCTGGACAGACCAAGGACAGGACCAACGTCAAAGTGGGGTCTCATGGAGAAGAGTATTGAGGAGTAACTTTTTCTCACTGTTTTGTAAAACTGTGGCTCTGGCTGGGCGGTGGCGGCACAGGCTTTTAATCCCAGCGTTCCAGAAGCAAAGCCAGGTAAATCTGAGTTCAAGGACAGCCAGGGCTACACAGAGACCGTGTCTCGACAAAACGAAAACTTGGTCTCCTACTGTCTAAATTATTCTCGACCTACCCCACCCCCCATGATGTTGGATTTCTGACCCTTCCTCTGCCAAGGGGGGGTACTTGGGCTACATGAGACCAGGAGCTTCAAGTCTGGGTAACTGCAGCCTCCGAGTGCAGGTGTGTGCCTGCAGAAACTTAAGGCTTCCAGGCCCTTTGCCCACAGACCTCACTCTTCCGCCCGGCCCTGCCGTCCTGCTCTGCGTTTCCGCCCTCATCTCGCACATCCAATCGCAGAGGCCTCAGCGTTTCCGCTTGCCGCTCCAACAAATCATGACTAGGAGGTTCCACCACTACGACCATTCAGAGCGAGGCCATTCTTGTACGCTGGCCAATAGGAACGTAGGATCATAGGCCTAGTGGGCCGGACTGCGGCCAAAGGACATGCGCGATTCAGGCGGCCAATGGCCCGCTGCGGGTCGGTTGTGGATTAGCAGCTGCTCCCCGCGGCAGTGGGGGGGGTCCAGGATCCGAGCCTGAGTACCCTGCAAAGGGTGAGTGCGGAGGGGCTCCCCTCCGCCCCTGGGACGCAGGCGGGAGGAGGCTGGGGCCTTGCCAGCACTAGCACTTCCCCGGAGTTGGAGCAGGAGCACCCGCTGTCTCCGTACTTGTCGGTTTCCTGTAGAGTGCACAGTGCAGTTATTGCCTGAGCCAGATGGGTCGGCAGGTTTTCGGGCGGTGGGTGGGGACAGATGCAGCTTCTGCAAGTACAGACCCTATGTTCGTCTTCAAAGCTGGGCCGGGATCTTCGGGAACCGGGAAGGAGGAAGTGAGCTCTCCCAAAGGCCCCAGTCCCCGGGATGGTGTTTTGAACGTGAATAGATTATGGTAACATCTATTAAACGTTTACTGTTTGCCAGACACTTTCCACTGAGCCTTTGAAGTAGCCACTGGTTACTCTCTTACCGCGTGTGGAAACTGGCCCGGAGAGGAGACAAGTACCGGCAGATCTGACTTTCAGGGCTCTTACAGTAACATAAATCATTAAGGCTGGTGGGCTCAAGGCCGGGTGTGCAGGCGTACGTATGCCTGCGATCTCAACAGAGGCAGAGAAAGGGATTTCTGTGAGCTCTAGGCTAGCCTAGGCTATATAGTAAAATGCTGCCTCAAAAAAATGTACACATGTGTATATGTACATATATATAATAAAATGCTGTACTTAGAAGACTGAGGCAGAAGGATCACCATGAGTTGGAGGACAGTGTGAACTACAGGGTGAATTCTAAGATATCCTGAGCTACACAGACCAATATAAAATAAAGGGTGAATGAATATTCCCTCCGTTGGTAAAGTGCCTGCAAGCAGAAGGATCCGAGTTTGACTCCCAGGACTTACATAAAGTGGAGTGTGGTAACTGTCACATGTCACCCCAACACGAGGGGATAGAAACAAGAAGGTCCTAGGGGTCCAAAACAGTGACCCTAGGTTTAGTAAGACCCTGTCTCAGTAAACAAGGTGAAGGGGCAGGAGAGATGGCTCAGGGTTCAGAACACTGGCTGACCTTTCGGAAGTCTCAGACTTGGTTCCCAGCACCCACTGGCAGCTCACAACCATATGTATTACTCCAGTTCCAGGGCATCCGATACCCTCTTCTAGCCTCCATCAGCACCAGGCACATATGAGGTAGAGCACAGACATACATGCAAAACGTTCACACGCATTTTAAAAACTAAGGTGGAAAGTACCTGATAGACACTTCTGGCCTCCATGTGTGCATACAGAGAGCAGACTTTCACACTTAGGTGCACACACATGCATACATTATGCATGTACACACATGCATATACCATGCACATATATCCCTGCATACACTATGCACACATCCATAACACCATACACACATATACATATACCATGCACATACACACTCATATACCTTCATATACCCATACACTATTAGTGCACACTTATGCTTCATGTACATACATGTTTATGCCAGATACACATATGCCTGAACACATATACATACAACATGCATACCATGTACACACATATACCATGTGCATATATGCCTATTCATACACACACATGCACCATGCTCACAGAATTGTTTTTTAAATTGTGGAACCTTGTCCCTGAAATGTGGCATCCCAGGTGAGCATCCCCCCATGTGGAGTGAGAGCAGCCCTGGTCACCTATTGGGGTGGATCTCGAGCATGGAAAGAAAAGTCGTGATGGTGAAGCTCGTTTGGATTTGGCTAAGTCACATGTCTTTAACTGTGTTTGTGTGTGCATGCATGCCATAGGACAGCTCAGAGCAGTTGGTGCTCTTCTTCCACGCTGTGAGTTGAAGGGTTGGACCCAGGTTTTCCAGCTGAGCCCCGTGGTTCAGTAGTGCTTTTTTGGTGGTATTGGGGATGAAGCCCGGGCCTAGAGCAGGGAGGATGCCTGCTGCTCTGCCCCTGCTGGCCGCTCCTCCACCCCAGTGCAATCTCTTTGGGTCATATTTGATGGTTGTTTTTCCTGCCTAGTTCAGGTTCCTGTTGGCCCAGTACCATGCAGAACCAGGTTGGAACATCTTTTTATAGCAACGGTCTCAGCATCTCTGCTTCACACAGGGAAATGGAGTACCGGAGAGGTTAAGTGCATCGCCTGAGGTCATATGAAAGTTCCTAGACACACCACCAGGTTTGTTGCATCAAGCCCGCCTACCTTCTGGGAACTTTGTTCAGAGCAGAAACTCATGGATTGGTTGATTTGACTGATGGAGACAGCATCTCACTAGCTTGGAACTACTTAGATCAAGCTGGCTTCAAACTCACAGAGTTCTGGAGCTAAAGGCATGCACTAATGTGCTTGGCTTAAATTTATTATTATTACTTTTTTTTTCCATTTTGGTTTTTCGAGACAGGGTTTCTCATTGTAGCCCTGGCTGTCCTGGAACTCACTCTGTAGACCAAGCTGACCTCAAACTCACAGAGATCCACCTGCCTCTGCCTCCCAAGTGCTGGGATTAAAGGCAAGTGCCACCACTGCCTGGTTTTATTTTATTTCATTATTTATTTATTTATTTATTTTTGATTTTTCGAGACAGGGTTTCTCTGTGTAGCTTTTGGGGCCTGTCCTGGAACTAGCTTTGTAGACCAGGCTGTTCTAAAACTCACAGAGATCTACCTGCCTCTGCCTCCCGAGTGCTGGGAGACCTGTCCACCACCACCTGGCAAAATGGCTTTTTATTTAAAAAAAAAAAAAAAAGATTTTTTTGTTTGTTTTGGTTTTGGTTTTTTGTTTTGTTTTGTTTTGTTTTGTTTCGAGATGGTTTCTCTGTAGCTTTGGAGCCTGTTCTGGAACTCATGCTATAGACCAGGATGGCCTTAAGCTCACCTCGAACCACCTGTCTCTGCCTCCCAAGTGCTCCAATTAAAGGTGCATGCACCACCACCCCTATTTTAATTTTATTTAGTATTCTTATGGTATTTTTATGTTCTTAATTTTTATTTTATGTGCATTGGTGTTTTGCCTGCGTGTATATCTGTGTGAAGGTGTCAGGTCCCCTAGAACTAGAGTTACAGAGAGTTATGAGCTATCACATGGATGCTGGGAATTGAACCTGGGTCCTCTGGAAGAGCAGTCAGTGCTCTTCAGCACTGAGCCATCTCTCCAGCCCTGTTATGCTGTTTTTATAAGGGTATGAAGAGCACTGGTGTAGCCCAGAGGACAATTTTAGGAGCCACTTGTCTCCTTCCATCATGTGGAGGCCAGGGGTACAGCTCAGGTCTCCAGACTTGGCGGCAGGTGCCTTTGCCCACTGAACCATCTCCCAGGCCACTATCTGTTTACGTGAAGACAGAATCTTATGTATCCCTGGCTGGCCTCCACTACCTTAGGTATGTGAGCCTGACTTTGATCCCTCTGAAGTACTGGGGTAGCAGGCAAATGTTCCCCTCCTCGTGCACCTCAGAGTGGCTGTTCACACTGCCATAAGATTACTGAAGGAAAAAGCGGACTGTGGTGACTCGTGTTTGCGGTTCTGGCAGTCAGGAGGCTTTGGAGGAAGAGGCCCCAGCAGCTGTAGGCAGACCGTGTGAACCTCTGCGGGTCGGTCTGCTGGCGCTCTGTACACTGTAGTCCCGGTTACTTGGAAGGCTGAGACAGGTGGGTTGATTGAATGTAGGGATTGAAGAGCAGTCTGGAAATAGCATAATGAGCTCTTGTTTCAAACTAAATAAATACTTTGTGGGCGGTAGGTGACACACGTTTTTATTTTGTTGTTGTTTATTGGTTTATTCATTTTTGGTTTTTAGAGACAGGGTTTCTCTGTGTAGTCCTAACTGTCCTGGAACTAGCTCTGTAGCCCAGGCTGGCCTCGAACTCACAGAGATCTGGCTGCCTCTGCTTCCTAAGTGCTGAGATTCAAGGCATGCTCTAATATTCTGGGCTGACACACAGGCCAGACTCTGGAGGCAGAAGTAAGCAGAACTCTGTGAGCTCCAGGCCACCACCAGAGCTGCACAGTGTAACCTTGCCTCAAAAATTAATTAATTAATTAATTTTTAAAAGGTACATTAAAAAGCCAAAGACGCAGTTGCACAACTGTAATCCCAGCATTTGAGATTCAAACATTAGGATCAGACTTCAAGAACATCCTTGTTTACTTATAAATTTGAGGCCAGCCTGAGTTGCCTGAGAATTGCTTTTTGTTCGTTTCTTTTGGTGCAGGTCTTCTCTGTGTAGGCCTGGCTAGCCTGGCACTCGCCCTGTAGACCAGATGGTCTTGAACCCAGATCACCTCCTCTGCCTCCCGAGTGAGAATTGTTTAAAAAGAATACAAATGGGGCCTAGTTATATGGTTAGATTCAGAGGCTGAGCTGGAGTTCGGTTCCCAGCACCCACATCGAGTGGCTCATGGCTGCCTGGAACTCCAGTTCAATGGGAGATGTCTTCTCTGGCACCCACACCCGTGGGCACCCCAACATATGGCACAGATCTTTAAGAAAAAGTATAGTATTAAGTTGGAGGCGAGCCTGGACTACATGAGACTGTCTAAATACACAAAATTAAACAAAACTATAAGACGGCTTTGCTACCGTTAAAACTGGCAGTCTCAAGTCACTCAGCATTCCTGCCCGCAAACAACTGTATGTATTGAGGCTGAGGGAGGGCAAGATCCCCACTCTTTCCTTTGGACTTCAGCCTGGGTGCGTGGGAGGCTGAGGAGTTAAGAGTCCTCTGGGTTGTGGCCCGAATCTAACGGCCTGTCCTTAACCGGCAGTGAATGGTGGCAACTATGCCTCTGTGTGGGCGGAGAACCATGTCAGAAGACAGCAGGGCAGATGGCACCGAAGCTCAGCCCCTGGTACCCACAGAAAGCTTGATGGTGCTGCTGCACTGGACTGGGCCCGAGGGCGGGGAGCCTTGGGTCACCTTCAGCCAGACGTCTCTGACTGCCGAGGACATCTGCATCCAGATTGCACACAAAGTCGGTGAGTGTGGAGCCTGGGGAGTAGCAGCTGGTGGTGTGGTTCATACTCATTGGACAAAGAAGAGTGAGTCTGAGTGCCAGCTTAAGTTGGGGCCAGTGGGGGGCTCTTATTCTAGAGGGCAAGGAAAGAAAATGCTGCTGAGCCGGGGGTGTCTGTGATCCCAGACTTGGGAAGCTGAGGCAGGAGGATCACAAGTTCCAGGCCAAACTAACTACACAAGAAGACCCTGTCTCAAAATACGTGTGAGGCTCAGTGGTAGAGCTCTTGCCTAGAAACGCTCATCTCTGTGCTGGAGAGCACTGACTGCTCTCCCAGAGAACCCGGGTTCAACTCCCAGCACCCGCATGGACGCTCACAACTGTCTGTAACTCCAATTCCAGGGTATCTGGGACCCTCACATAGACATACACTGCAAAACACCAATGCACATAAAAATAAATAAATCTTTCAAAAAAAAAAAAAAACAAGCCCCCAGTGAGGGGCTGGCATGTGACCCAGTGTTATAACCCCTTTCCAGAATCCCCCAGTGAGACGTCAGGGTGTGGCTCAGTGGAACCTGCCCAGTTTGTGCAAAGTTCTAATTTCTGTCCTCTGTATCTGCCAAATAAAGGCACTAAAGCTCTCATTAGTCCCACCCCCAACCTCGTTTAGACTAGTCACGCGTCCAAAGTTCTGCCCTGAATTCCATTTACACATGCTTTGTTGATTAAGATTCCAGCTTGTAAATGCTAGGACATGTCCAGACCGTCACAGGAAGTGTGCTGGCAATCTGACTGCGACATCTCTCACTGCCTGACTTTCTGTTGTGTTGATGTGACCAATGGGACCTGAACTCTATGGAGAAAATGGCCTCCGCACAGGTCCAGGGTACCACCCTGTTTGAGGAACCAAAAGACCTTCAGGCTGAGTGGGGTGCGGCTCTAAGAACTGGGAAAAGGAAGTAAAAGTTGAGGCTTAGGGCTGAAGTTGGCATTCACCCTGGTTGAACACTTACCCAGCACACACAGAACCCTAGCTTCCATCCCCAGCACCGCTGAGCCAGGCTCAATGGTGCAAATCTGTCGTCCCAGTACTCTGGGAAGTGGAGGCAGGAAGCACAGAAAAAAATTCAAGGCTAACCTCAGCTACATATGGACTTAGAGACCACCCTGGGCTCTGTGAGGCCCATCTCAAATCAAGCATCAGAGAAAGAAGCCAGGTCCTGGTCACTCAGCACTGAAGGGGTTGGGATTTCTCAGTGGGCAGTAATAGGGAGTCGTGGAATGGTTGAGGCAGAGAGTAAAGCAGTTGGCGTGTTAGAAAGCGTGGTGGCACATGCCTTTAATCCTAGCCCTCGGGAGGCAGAGACAGGCAGATTTCTGTGAGTTTGAGACCAGCCTGATCTACAAGAGCTAGTTCCAGGACAGGCACGAAAGCTAGGGAGAAACCTTGTCTCGAAAACAAAAAAGAAAGAAAGCTGTTTCACAAGCAAGGTACCTTATCAAACCTGTAGTGAAGTTATGTGTAATAACTTTGGAGAGCAATTTGTGTTTATCTGACAGGCTGAAACCTTTGTTCTTGTTTGTTTGTTTGTTTGTTTGTGTGTTAAGTGTATGCTGAGACAAGGTCTCTCTGTGGAGCCCTGGCTGTCCTGAAATTTACTCTGTAGCCCAGGCTGACCTGGAACTCACAGAGATTCACCTGCCTCTGCCTTCCAAGTGCTAGGATGTGCCACCTGTTTTGTTTTGTTTTTGAGACGGGTTCATGTAGCTCTGGCTGACCTCCAACTTATATGTAGCAGATAATGACTTTTGTTCTGCCTTAGCCTCCAGAGTTCTGAAATCACATGCCACTTAGTCCAATGTTCCTATCTTAGCTGCAAAGGAATCTGGGAAACGTAGTTCTGGGAAGCATTGACATGGTGGAAATTCTGAACTGCCTTGTGTGTCTTTCAGTTTTTGATAAGTCATAGACAGGAGAGGCGTGGGAAGAGTATGTGACAGGAGTTAGTGAGTTGCAGTGTCCTCAGAGCTAAGGTCTGCAGCTGATGGGGCTTCTGACTTCATCCCTCCCATCTTCCGTCTTCCAGGCATCACTCCACCCTGCCTGAATCTCTTTGCCCTCTATGATGCACAGGCCAAGGTCTGGCTGCCCCCAAACCACGTCCTAGACACATCCCGAGATGTGAGCCTAAGGCTATATTTCCGAATGAGGTAAGTGAAGGTCTCTTGGAAGGTGTGTGTGTTCACGAGCGCCACAGCACAGGTGTAGAGGGAAGTGCAGGATATCCACCACGCCACAGTCTCTCAGGTGGAACACAACATTAATTACCCATCAGGCCTCCTGCCTGGCTCTGTTTCTCCTTCCCTTCTTGTAGGTTTTACTTCCGGAACTGGCACGGCATGAGTCCCCAAGAGCCAGCTGTGTACCGATGTGGTTCCCTGGGGTCAGAGCAGGGTGTGCAGCTCTTGGACTCTGCCTCATTTGAATACCTCTTTGAGCAGGTATGAGCAGGGATGGAAAGGACTCCCTTCCACTTCCCACTCCACTGCATCTAATATGATTCAGCCCATACTAGCTGGGGTCTTTTAGCTGTCTTTACCAAAAGAAGTTGGAGTGAATGAGTGCTCCGTGTGATTAATAATGTCTGACACGGTCTCCAAATCATGAGGCGGTGTACATGGTGTTTCTGTGATGTGCATTTGCTCTTTCTAGGAAAATACTTGTCTCTCCCTTCCCCACAAGGTGCTAGAAGCAGGGAGTTAGAGTTTGTTGGCAATAAAGCAAACACCTTCCCTCCCCTTTCCTATGCACCCCTCTACCTCTCAGGGAAAACATGAGTTCATGAATGATGTGGTGTCTCTGCGGGACCTGTCTAGTGAGGAAGAGATCCATCACTTTAAGAATGAGAGCTTGGGCATGGCCTTTCTGCACCTCTGCCACCTTGCTCTCTGCCGCGGTGTCCCCCTGGAGGAGATGGCCAGAGAGATCAGGTGAGTGGCAATGGAGTAAGTGGCTGGAGCCCCCCACGCCCAGGGCACCAGGGTGGACCTTTCATGTTGCCTTGGTTTATTCAGCAAACACTGATCGCTAGCTGTGGACTCACACAGGGCCACCTCTGGGAGCTCACATCTGGTAAAGCAGATTGGGTACTAAAGGAAATACAAACACTGACTCTGCAGAGGACCTGAGTTCAGTTGCCAGCACTTTCACTGGGTGACCCACAATGGTCTATAACTCCAGCCCCAAGGGGCCAAACCCTCTTTTGGCTTTCACTGGCACACACACAGCATGCACATAAAAAATAATATAATAATATAGTCTTTATTATTTATTTTTGAGACAGGGTTTTTCTGTAGCTTTGGAGCCTGTCCTGAAACTTGTTCTGTAGACCAGGCTGGTCTCGAACTCACAGAGATGCGCGTGTCTCTGCCTCCCAAGTGCTGGGATTAAAGGCGTGCATCACCACCACCTGGCAAATAATACAGTCTTAAAAAAAATACAAACATGAAATGTAGAATAATTCAGTGGATTCAGAGAGTATACATTATTTATGTTGATTGTTTATTTACTTTGTTTTTCTTTTTTTCCCCTTTTATTTCTGAGATAGGGTTTCTCTGTGTAGCCCTGGCTGTCCTGTAACTTGCTCTGTAAACCAGGCTGGCCACAAACTCAGAGATCCTCCTGCTTCTGCTTTCTGAATACTGGGATTAAAGGAGTATACCACCACTCCCCAGCCTACTCTGTTTTTGAAGACATTACTTCAGACTGAGTATAGTGGAACACACATTTAATCCCAGTCCTCTGGAGGCAGAGGCAGGAGGACCTCTGTGCATCTGAGACAGCCTACTGTATATAATGAGTTCCAGAACAGCCAGGGCTACATAGAGACCCTGTCTCAAAAAGAAAAAAAAAAAACCCTATAGCCGGGCGGTGGTGGCACACGCCTTTAATCCCAGCACTCGGGAGGCAGAGGCAGGCAGATCTCTGTGAGTTCGAGACCAGCCTGGTCTACAGAGCTAGTTCCAGGACAGGCTCCAAAGCCACAGAGAAACCCTGTCTCGAAAAACCAAAAAAAAAAAAAAAACCCTATAAAAGCCCAGCCTTTAGAAGTGGGGTTCCCTGTGGGTACAGGATATAGACTTCTGGAAGGCAGTTTCTGGATGCTCAGAAGGCCCTGTCTCTGGCCAGGCACATGGCACAGATGTGTAGCCATAGTCACCAGTGCACTGAGACAAGATTTACAAGACAGGGACTGGAGAGATGGCTCAGCAGTTAGGAGCACTGGCTGCTCTTCCAGAGGACCTGGGTTCAATTCCTAGCACCCACATGGCAGCTTACAACTGTCTATAACTCATGTCCCAGGGGTTCCAATGCCCTCACACAGACATATGCAGGCAAAACACCAATGCACATAAAATACAAACAAATTTTAAAAAATAGGGCCAGATATGGTGGTATGCATATTATTCTTGGACTCTGGAGGTAGATCCAGGAAGATTACTTCAAGTTTGAGGTCAACCTGGGCTACACAGTGAGTTCCAGGCCAGCCTGGGCTACTATAAAAGGTAAGGTAAGGGCTGGAGAGATGGCTCAGAGGTTAAGAGCATTGCCTGCTCTTCCAAAGGTCCTGAGTTCAATCCCCAGCAACCACATGGTGGCTCACAACCATCTGTAATGAGGTCTGGTGCCCTCTTCTGGCCTGCAGACATATACACAGACAGAATATTGTATACATAATAAATAAATATTTAAAAAAAAAAAAAGGTAAGGTAAGGAGCTGGAGATGGCTGAGTGCTCCTGGCTGCTCCTGCAGGGGACCAGAGTTCAGTTTCCAGCACCCACATGGAGTCTCACACCCACTGCTCCTGCAGGGGACCAGAGTTCAGTTTCCAGCACCCACATGGAACCTCACACCCACTCTCCAGTTCCAAGGAATCTGACACCCTCTTCCGACTATTGTGGGGACACACACATGAGGAATAAAAATAAAAACTGTTGAGACAGAATTTCACTGTATAGTGCTGGGATTAGGGTCTTTATTCCTGCATTCATGACATAGGCCTGCTGTCTACATGAGGCAGCAGAAAGGTTCAGCCACTAACCTCATGTCACCCAGCCTTTCTGGCTACCCAGGCTCTGACATGTCCCCTGTGTCCTCTTTCAGCTTTAAGAACTGCATCCCTCGTTCCTTCCGCCAGCACATCCGTCAGCACAATGCGCTCACGCGCCTGCGTCTCCGCAGAGTCTTCCGGCGATTCCTGCGGGCCTTTCGGCCTGGCCACCTCTCCCAGCAGGTTGTGATGGTTAAGTACTTGGCCACCCTGGAGCGGCTGGCCCCTCGATTTGGCTCAGAGCACATACCGGTGTGTCATCTGGAGGTGCTGGACCAGCCTGAGAGGGACCCCTGCTACATCCAGAACAGTGGGCAGACTACTGGAGACCCAGGCCCAGAGCTGGCCACCAGGCTTCCCACCCATGAGGTACTGGTGACAGGCACCAGAGGTATCCAGTGGCGTCCACTACAGATCCAGGTCAGCACTCAGCTGTGGGCTCCTCAGGGTAGCTCAAGTGAGCCCTGTCCTCGTCTGACCGTGGAGGCATGGCAGGGCAGGGTGTGCACATAGAGGTCAGGTGATCTCTTGGGGAAGCGGGTTTCTCTCTGGGAATCAGACTCCAGTCGTCAGGTTTGGAAGCAAGCCCTTTTGCCCGCTGAGACATCTTCCTGACCCTTGAGAGTTTATTTTTATTTATTTTTGTTTTGTTTTGTTTTTTGGAAGAGGGTTCTTTGTGTAGTCCTGGCTGTCCTGGAACTCATTCTGTAGACTAGGCTGGCTTTGAACTCATAGATCTGCCTGCCTCTGCCTTCTGAGTGCTGGGAGTAGAGGCGTGTGCAACCACTGCTCAGCTTATTTTTATTTTTTGAGTTAGTGTCTTATGTACTGGGATTCTAGCTGACCCAGAGCTCCACTGTGTAGCCCAGGCTGAACTTTAAGTCATGTCGATCTTCCTGCAACTTTCTGACTTTTGGAGTTGAGAGCTTAAGCCCAGCTTCCTTCTGTCCTTTGAGGGGAAATTAAGCTAACCTTGCCAGGGCTGGAGAGACAGCTCAGTGGTTAAGAGCACTGACTGCTCCATTCCTGGCACCCACATGGCAGCTCACAACTGTCTATAACTCCACGATCTGACTCACATGCAGGCAAAACACCAATGCACATACAGTAAACTATAAACTATCCTTGTCCTGTGTGTCCCCTGCCTCACCCCACCTCCACCCCCGACTCCCTGGCGTGGCCTTTAGGAATCTGCAAGAGGTAACAGCAGAGGGAATCCCCAAGGCAACCGATCTGGAAAGAAAGTCAAGGCCCCTGAGGTTGCCGAGCAGCTGGCCAAGAGTCCTGGGGAGCCATCCTGGACCTACTTCTGCGACTTCCAGGACATCTCCCATGTAGTGCTAAAGGACTGTCACGTGCGCATCCACCGTCAGGACAACAAGTGCATGGTGGGGCCCCTGGGCAGCAGGTTGGTGGAGGTGGCTCGGGCCTGCCCTGCCAGGCTCCCTGACCATGCCCCCTGGCCCACAGTTGCTGTGCCTCCGTTCCCGGGCTGAAGCCCTGTCCTTTGTGGCCCTGGTGGATGGCTATTTCCGCTTGACCGCCGACTCCAGCCACTACCTGTGCCATGAGGTGGCACCCCCGCGGCTGTTGACCAGCATCCAGAATGGCATCCATGGGCCCCTGATGTGAGTGATGGTGGCCTGAGGGTGTCAGGGCTGGCTGGCCGTGCCAGAGGCTGCGTCCATGGTCCACCTAGTATGTGTTCATGCAGCTGCCACTACACCGAGGTGCTGCCGCCAGCCCAGTTAGCTGTGGGCCACATGAGTGTCACCATGTTTGTGTCTGACTGTCTGGCCTCTGTGTATGACTCCTTTTAGTCCTCATTTTTGTTGTTGCTGTTGTCACTTCTGAGATGTCAAGGCCCTTTTACTAGTTTATTTTTTCATTACTATGATAAAATGCCTTAGTCTGGACTCTTTTTTTTTTTTTTTTTTTTTTTTTTGGTTTTTCGAGACAGGGTTTCTCTGTGGCTTTGGAGCCTGTCCTGGAACTAGCTCTGTAGACCAGGCTGGTCTCGAACTCACAAAGATCCGCCTGCCTCTGCCTCCCAAGTGCTGGGATTAAAGGCATGCGCCACCACCACCCGGCTAGTCTAGACTCTTAAGAAGAAAGGTTAGCTGTGGTAGCGCGCAGCCCAAACCAAGCAGGTCAGCTTGGGCTATATAGTGAGAGCCTATCTCAAATTTAAATTGTATTTCTTTCTTTCTTTCTTTTTTTTTTTTTTTTTTTTTTTTTGAGGTAGGGTTTCTCTGTGTTCTCTCTGTAGCCATGACTGTCCTGGAACTCACTCTATAGCCCAAGCTGGTCTTGAATTCCCAGAGATCTGCCTGCGTTTGCCTCCCGACTGCTGGAATTAAAGGCATGTGACACCACTGCTCAGCTCAAAATTAAATTTAAATATTTATTTTTTATTATTTTAAATTATGTTTGTGGTATGTCTGTACACTTGAGTGTAGGTGCCCACAGAGGCCAGGAGCATCAGATCCTCCTGGGACTGGTATTACAGATGGTTGTGAGCCACCCAGTGTGGGTGCTAGGAACTGAACTTGCATCCTTTTGAAGGGCAGTAAGCTCCTTTAACATCTGAGCCATCTCTCAGGCCTTCAAAATTAAGTTGTAGGAAAACTGTCTAGGGGACTTGGGAAATGACTTAGCAGATAGAGTGCCTGTCTTCTCCTGTGAGGGTCTGAATGTGACCCTAGAAGACACGTGGCTCAGCGGCTGGTGCGTGGAGTCCCAGCACTCCTATAGTCCATGGTAGGTAGAGGACTCTTTGGAGGCTCCTGCCTCTAACAGGACAGAAGGCCAGGACTGGTACCTCTGACATGCGCACAGTGGCATGCATACCCGTACTCACACTGATCTGTGGCTGTAGCTCAGCTGTAGCGAGCCGTAGTAGTACTTGCTAGTGGATGAAGCACTGATTGACTTGGCTGTGGTGGCATGCACCAGTACTCCCAGCACATGTGTGGTGGTCACCTGACAACCTGGAGTCCATCCTCTTCTTCCATCTTGGTGCTGGGGAACAAATTCAGGTCATGAGATTGGGAGTCATCCATCTCCCTGGCCCCTTGATTTGTTTTTGAGACAGGGTTTCAGTAAGCCCAGACTAGGCTTGAATTCTGCAAGGGTGACCTTGAACTCCCTGTCTCCCTGCCTCCAACCTCCCAGCACTGGGACTAGAGGTTGTGTTACCATACCTGGTTTATGTCTACCTTTTTTTTTAAAGTTTTTTTTTGTAATTTAATTTTATATGTATGTTTTTTGTGTGTGTTTGTTTTGTTTTTCTGCCTGCACAATGTGCATATCTGGTGCCCACAATGGCTGGGAGCTACAGAACAGGTGAGAGCCCCCTTCTTGGTGCTGAGAATTGAACCTGGGTCCTCTGGAAGAGCAGCAAATACCCCTGAGCCATCTCTGCAGCCCGTCATGTCTGACATGTCATCACTGGGTGTAGGACCTGACATGAGCCTCAGAGGAGACAGAACACATGGAAATGGTGTACCCACATGGCTCTGTGACTCATGGTGACCAACTGCACACATGATCTGTGTTTTGGGGCCAAATGACTATCTCTTCACTGGAAGTAACTCTGTCCTGTTGTGGCCATGTCTGGGTGTGACCGTGTAACATCAGACAGCTGTTTTCTTGTCTCAGCATCTGTCACTTCGTCAGTGGCTGTGTTTGATGTTAGGCACAGGTGACTGTTCTTACATGTATCTATGTCAGTGGTCATATGTATGTATACATGTATGTATTCACCTATTGTCGGTAGTTCTGAGATTTTTTATACATTTACTTATGTGCAGGGAGACATGTCCTAGTGTATATGGGGAGGACAGAGGGCAGCCTGCAGGAGTCAGTTCTCTGCTTCTACCATGTGGGTCCTGGATGGCGAACTCAGGTCATCAGGCTTCAAGTGCCTGTATCCACTTGCAGGCTCCCTGAAGGTTTTATCTGCATGTGTGTGTGTGTGTGCAAGGCAGCCAAGGTGGCCTTGGGTGTCTTCCTCAGTCGCTCTCCATTGGTTTCTTTTTATTCTTCATGTTTATATATGTGTATCTGAGTGTACGCCACATGTATGTGGTGCCCATAGGATTCTCTGCAGCTGGAGTCACAGGTGGTGTGAGGTGTGGGTGCTAAGAGTGAACCCCTGGTCCCCTACAGGAACAGCAAGCCCTGTTACCGCTTTAGTTTTTGAGGCGGGTCTCTGAGACTGGAGTTTGCTGACTGGCTAGACTAGCTGAGCTGTAGCCTCAGGGCTGGATTACAGGTGCATGCTATTACTCCCAGAGTCCCACAAGGGTGCAGAGATCTGATCCCTGATCTTCCAAAGTCTCCATTCCCTCCACTTTTCCTTGAGACATATTCATATTATGTAGCCCAGGCTGAACTTGAACTTTCAGTGATCATGTGACCTCAGCCTCCTGAGAGCTGGCGTTACAGGTATGTACTGCCACATCTCCTGTCTCTGACTTGTGTCTGGCTGATGTGTCTCTGAGCAGGTCTCTGTGTTCATTGCCTAGCTGGGTTCCACAATGACTACAGGAGGCTGATGGTGTTCCCGTCCTCTTCCTCTCCCAGGGATCCATTTGTGCAAGCCAAGCTGTGGCCGGAGGATGGCCTCTACCTGATCCAGTGGAGCACCAGCCACCTCCACCGTCTGATCCTCACTGTGGCCCATCGAGACTCAGTGGGTGTGGAGCCAGGGTGGAGGCTAGAGAGGTGCACCTTTCCTAGGCGGGCCCTAAGCCCCGCCCGACCCCTGCTCACATCTCCTTCCCACTCTCCCAGGCTCCCAACAGCGGCCCCAAGGGTCTGCGCCTCCGAAAGTTCCCCATCACCCAGCAACCTGGAGCCTTTGTGCTAGATGGCTGGGGTCGCTCCTTCGACAGCGTGGGGGACCTTCGGGTCGCCTTGCAGGGCTGCTCGCTGCGGGCTGGTGACGACTGCTTCCCTTTGCACCACTGCTGCCTGCCCCGGCCAGGAGGTGAGTAGGACAGCCAGAGGCACCAGGTAGGGCTGACACCGTGTGCCCTGAAGCCAGCCCACGAGGGCAGTGTCTGCTCCTGTGCCTAGAAATCTCCAACCTCTTGGTCATGCGGGGGTCCAGTGCCCACACCCGGCCTCTCAACCTCAGCCAGCTCAGCTTCCACAGAGTTCACCAGGATGAAATCACGCAGGTGGGTCCTCTGTGGCAAGGCATGTGGAGGGGGCGGGGCGGGGCGGAGTCAGCACTGCTACATTCAGTAGCTCCTCTTGCAGCTGTCCCACTTGGGTCAAGGCACGAGGACCAATGTTTACGAGGGCCTTCTAAGAGTGGGAGGCCCTGACGAAGGCAAAACTGACAGTGGATGCCCTCCTGAGCCTGGCGGGGGCATTGGTCAGCAGCTCCGAGTGGTGCTTAAAGTCCTGGACCCCAGTCACCATGACATCGCCTTGGTAATTATACAAGGCTGGCCCTGGGGTGTCTGAGAGGAGGACTGGGAAGGATGGGGTGGGTTTGCAGGAGCCTGACCTGCCCTGTCCCCACAGGCCTTCTATGAAACAGCCAGCCTCATGAGCCAGGTGGCACACATGCACCTGGCTTTCCTGCATGGTGTCTGCGTGCGTGGCTCAGAGAGTGAGTTCACCCCCAAACCCAACTGGGTTTGAATTCCACCCCTCTGTACCCTCTCCCTGGCCTGTATCCTGACATCCTGACTCGCCAATCTTTTTTTTTTTTATTTTTGGTGGTACTGGAGATGGAACCCAGGCTGTCACCATTGGCATGTGGGGTAAACACTCTGCCCCTAAGCAGTGCCCCCAGCTCCTTACTATATGGTATTCCAAGCAGGGGCTCTATCGCTGAGCCACACCTCCAGGTCCTCACTGGGGGATTGCAGGCAGGGTTCTGCCTCTGAGCCACACCGAAACCATCTGTCACTGCCTCCTATAGTCTGAGATCAGGCCTTCATCTTCAGTGTGCCCACTCCTCACCACACGGATGAGCGGCCTCTGTCTGGATGCTGTACTGTACTCTGAGCCTCCCCCTTCCCTTGATCCCTTTTTATACCTGCTCTGCCCAGTCTCCTTGACCCAGACCATGATGTCTGGCTCTGTCGAAGTCATCCCATAATTCCTTTTGCCATACTCTGAGCCCTTCAGCACAGTGGCCCCAGGCAGATCCCAGACCTGTTGTGATCTCAGTCACCCTGTGTTCCCACCCTGCGTAGACACCTCTGTTCCTTCCCTGCCTGTCCCTGATTGTGACCCTGCAGTGTTCCATGTGTGTCCCTGATGCTGCTCTCCAGCCTGTGCCTGGCCTCCTGCTGCTCACCTCTGCCCATCCCCCTCCCACCTTCTCTCTCCTTCCTTTGCTCCATCTTGTCCTCTGCGTGGACACTTACTCTGTGTCTAGACTCCCCATTCCACCTCTGCCTGGCCCTCTGCTCTGCTCTTAAAGTCCCCACCCACAATGCAAACTCAGCCTGGCCCTACATCTGTCCTGGTCCCTGGAGGAAGAGGCAGGTGACTGCCCCTCCAGTACCATCTGTCCTGGTCCCTGGAGGAAGAGACAGGTGACTGCCCCTCCAGCAGCGGTATCTTTGCAGATATCATTGTGACAGAGTTCGTAGAACACGGTCCCCTGGATGTGTGGTTACGGCGACACAGGGGCCGAGTGCCTATGACCTGGAAGATGATTGTGGCTCAGCAGCTGGCCAGTGCCCTCAGCTACCTGGTATGTGGACCTGAGGGGGTACAAACTAGGTGGTGGTGGTGGTGGCGCACACCTTTAATCCCAGCACTCAGGAAGCAGAGGCAGGCAGATCTCTGTGAGTTTGAGGCCAGCCTGGTCTACAGAGTGAGTTCCAGGACAGGCTCCAAAACTACACAGAGAAACCCTGTGTCAAAGAGAGAGAGAGAGAGAGAAAGGGAGAAAGAAAATGGGGTGCAGTGAAGCCAGGCATGGCAACACAGACATGCCATCATTGTGTGTAGGAACTGAGGCAGGGGAATCTGGAGTTCAGCTATGTAGTGAGTTTGAGGCTAACCTGGGCTACACAACACCCTGTTGCAAGCATTGGGAAAGGAAGGGGCTGGGGCTGTAACTCAGTTGGTAGAGCACTTGCCTAACTCAGACAAAGCCCTGGATTCTGGGCCTAGCTCTGTATAAAGAGGGTGTGATGTGTGCTTGCAGTGCTGCACTGGGGACTCAGGGCCATCCTCTGCTAAGCAGTGTGTGCGTGCCCAGGCGAGAACCGAGATGTCTTCCTTATTTAAGGAGAATAAGATGTTCTTATTTCTTGAGGCAGGGACTCGCCAAACCCAGAACTCACCTATACAACTAAACTAACTAGCCTGTGGAACCCAGTGTGTACCTGTCTCTACCTCCCCAGCTCCAGGGTTACAGACAGGCACATGCTGCCAAGTCGTCTCATGTAGCCCAGGCTGGTCCCAGATGCATTATGTAACCAAGACTGGCTTTGAACCCCTGATCCTCCTGCCTCCGCCTCTTGAGATGACGGGCTTACATTACCATGCCTGACACCTAACTTCAGTTTTTACCTTGGCTCCATCTGAAGATGTCCTGTGTTGAGAGAGGGCTAACTGTGCTTAGAGCAGTAACAAAATAATGTTAGGAAGCAGTGTGAACTGAGCAGGGGAATCTGGGAAGATCATGATGAATGCTTGCTGTACAGCCATGAGGACTTGAATTTATATCCCCAGCACCCACATAAAAAGTCAGATGTCTGTAACCCTAGCACCAGGGAGGCAAAGACAGGAGGGTCCCTGGATCTCACTGACGGGCTGGCTTACCCAATCAGGGAGCACCGGACTCAGTGTGAGACCCTGTCTCAGAGAATAAGGCGAGGAGCAATTGAGGACACCACCTAGCATCCGTCTCTGACCTCCACAGGCATACTTCCCCAGGAGCACAAAACACACACACAATGCAGACAGAATTGAGGGCCAGATGAGCTGACGTGGACGGGAGGCACAGTTAGGAGTTGGGACTGAGCAGAATTGGAAAGAGATGAACTGAGCTGGCCTCACCTGACAGGAGAGGAAAGTTGCTGCCAGGGAGTCTTGGGAAGATCATATTCGAGGGTGTGTGAAAACAGTCTGTGCAAAGGTCCTGGGGCAGTGGTATTTGGAGACTTACAGTGAGGTCTTTCTATTTATTTATTTATTATGTATACAATATATGCCTGCAGGCCAGAAGAGGGCACCAGATCTCATTACAGATGGTTGTGAGCCACCATGTGGTTGCTGGGAATTGAACTCAGGACCTTTGGAAGAGCAGGCAATGCTCTTAACCTCTGAGCCATCTCTCCAGTCCCTCTTTCTAGCTTTTTGTTCCTGGCCAAGAACCTTGGCTACCCACTCAGCTCCCAGTGTTACCTGGTACTGATAACATTATATTGTTATCCCAATAGTTTGACAATTGTCATTTTCACACAGCTATCCCTGTGGGGAGGAGCCTATGGATAGGGTGGTGGTGGAATCTGGACTCATCCCTAGGAGTCACGCACTTTTTCCTCCTTTGCCACTCAGGAGGACAAGAATCTGGTTCACGGGAATGTATGTGGCCGGAACGTCCTGCTGGCGCGGCTGGGGTTAGAGGAGGGTACCAGCCCCTTCATCAAGTTAAGTGATCCTGGCGTAGGCCAAGGTGCCCTCTCCAGAGAGGGTGAGTTCTGGAGTGGGGCATAGGGAGGCCTTCCCCTGCTCTTTCTGCCCTCGCTGATCTCTAACCTGTGCTCCCCAGAGCGGGTGGAACGCATCCCCTGGACAGCTCCTGAGTGCCTGTCTGGAGAGATCAGTAGCTTGGGTACTGCCACGGACATGTGGGGTTTTGGTGCCACCCTTCTTGAGATCTGCTTTGATGGGGATGCACCCCTGCAGGGTCGTTGCTCCTCCGAGGTATGTCCTAAGGATTTCGGTGGACTCTTGAAGGGTTCTTTGGTTCATCGAAGTGGCTGAAAAGGTTTCCTAGAGAATGTTTCATTAAATGAAGACTTTTGCTTCTGAGCAGGGCTAGGAAGTGCAACCTTGGTTCCAAACACAGCTTTTGCAGAGGCCTGGGGGCATTAAAGGAGCTGAGCTGAGGGCGGGGAGGAAAGATTGAGAGATGGAACGGCTTGGGGGACCTGCTCCAGCTTTGCAGAGCCAGCCAGACTTGGCCCTGATTCCTGTAAAGATTACAGCTCCAAGCTGCCTTCTCTGTAAAGTGGGCATAAAGAAGACCAGGTTCTGGTCTGAGCCAGCCATACCATTTGGCTGTGCCTTTTGGGGAAGGTGTGGGCAGAATGGGAGGCTCACTGTCTGGGGTCATCACCCCCACAGAAAGAACGATTCTACACAAAGCAGCACCAGCTGCCTGAGCCCTCATGCCCGGAGCTGGCCACACTCACCCGCCAGTGCCTGACCTACGAACCAGCACAGCGGCCATCATTCCGCACCATTTTGCGGGACCTCACCAGGCTGCAGCCACAGAGTGAGCCAGGGCCCTGGGGGTTGGGTGTGCAGCTGGAGTTCCTGCCGGTGCAGGCACTGCCCATCCAAAATCTGCACGGGGGCACAGTGCATGGCAGGTTTTTACTCACCTAAAGGTGTCCAGGTGTGAGGGATGCTGGCGAGCAGGGACCAGTCATGTGATACTGAAGGGTCTAACTGAAGGCCTTGGCTTTTCCAGATCTAGTGGGTATCTCGGCTGTGAACTCAGACTCAGCAGCATCAGACCCCACGGTTTTCCACAAACGTTATTTGAAAAAGATCCGGGATTTGGGCGAGGTGAGAGCTAGGCTGGGGAGCTGGGTGGGAGCGGATGGCTGGGGCATAGGTTAGTGATGTCAGGGTGGGGTTTGGAGAGCTGGAGGAAGGGGGAGGGCTAGGATGCATCTGAAGGAAGTCTTGTTTAAGAACAGTTTGGAGGGCCAGTCATGGTAGGCAGGCCTTCACCACTCACCGTTGGGGCAGGGGCGGGTGGAGCGCTGGGTCTGAGGCCAGCATCTGTGTATCAAATTCCAAGCCAGCCTGTGCTCCATAGTGTGATTCTCTCAAGCAAACAAACAGAGAGAAAGATGGGGAGACTCCTCGGTTTTGGGAGAAGGCAGTTCATTGGGCCTAGCAAGCTCTACCGCCTGGTTCTGACTGTCCTGCCCACTTCTGCCAGGGTCACTTTGGCAAGGTCAGCCTGTACTGCTATGATCCAACCAATGATGGCACTGGCGAGATGGTGGCTGTGAAAGCCCTTAAGGAGGGCTGTGGTCCCCAGCTCCGCTCAGGCTGGCAGCGGGAGATCGAAATCCTGCGGACCCTGTACCATGAACATATTGTCAAGTACAAAGGCTGCTGTGAGGACCAAGGTGTGCCAGGCCATGGTGTGTGGGTGCAGGGCCTAACCATCCTGGCTCAGTTGCCGTAGGGGTGTGGCTAAGTAGCCTTCTTAGTTGAGGGTATTGCCTACCGGGGCCAGGATGAACAGGAGCCCCCCCACCCCACCCCCACCTTCCTAGCACAGGAACAGGGTTCTACATGGGTCCCTCTCATCCATGGACCTGCCCTAGTGTACACTGGGTACACGGGGTACATGGGTCTTGGTCCTGTCCCCCTCCCTCCCCCGGGCCGATCTGTGCAGTGCTCAGAGCTCCAGGATACTGGGATTCCAACCCTCTGTCAACTTCCGGCCCCTATGGTCTCCTCCTGACAGGAGAGAAGTCTGTACAGCTGGTCATGGAATACGTCCCCCTGGGCAGCCTTCGGGACTACCTGCCACGGCACAGCGTTGGGCTGGCTCAGCTTCTGTTGTTTGCCCAGCAGATCTGCGAGGTGGGATGACCCTGCCTCTCGTTCCAGAGCCGACCACCCCTGCTTCTGTTGGTCCTGAAGGGGTCTATCCCTGCCCATGCTCTTGCTCTTGGACTGGACTCTTTTCACTTTGTGGCCACACCCCCATAAGCCTCACCCCTAATCCCTAGTTTCCTTATGACTGAACCCACTCACCTTTTCTTGGCTCTTCCCACTAATCCTCCCCAACACCACCACCAATTTAGCCTATCTTGCCTGGCCTAGTATCTGCAAGCCCCATCCCAAACCCTGTAGAGGATTGAATATTTCTAGACCCGGCTAGCTCTGCTTGGCCCCGCCCACCGAGCCCCACATCTTCTTAGTTGCACCCTAGCCTAACTTACCCCCAAAGCCCCACTCCTAACCTTGTAGAGATTTGCACGTTCCCAAACTCACCCACCTTTGCTTGACCCCACCCCTTACAACACCCTCCTTGTTGGCCTCGCTCCAAGCCTCGCTCTGGCTCCTCCTTTTGCTTGCTCAGACCGAAGCTGAGCCTGACTCGCCCTGCCCCACCCCAGGGCATGGCCTACCTGCACGGGCAACACTACATTCACCGAGACCTAGCTGCGCGCAATGTGCTTCTGGACAATGAGAGGCTGGTCAAGATTGGAGACTTTGGCTTAGCCAAGGCAGTGCCTGAAGGCCATGAGTACTACCGCGTTCGCGAAGACGGGGACAGCCCAGTGTTCTGGTGATCAGGAGTGGATACAGTCGGGAAGTGGGGGGAGAAGGAGGAAACTCTGGGATGCAGAGGGAAGTTGGGCGGGGCCTAGGAAGGGGCAGGACTAAAGCCCTACAGTGCAATTTGGCTTGGTTTAGTTAAATCTGAAACCCAACTAGATTCTCAGGGCTCCTCTGACTGGATGTGAACTGCAGGTCTAGCCAGCCAGTCCTGAGCCTCCTCTGTCTCCAGGTATGCCCCGGAATGTCTGAAGGAGTGCAAATTTTACTATGCGTCAGATGTCTGGTCTTTCGGGGTGACCCTGTACGAGCTGTTGACCTACTGTGACTCTAGGCAGAGCCCCCCCACGGTGAGCGACTGCTACCAAACTCTACCCTTGTGTTTGCTGGGGACGTTTCTAGAAAAGCAGGCATTTCAAGTTCAGCCCCTCAACACAGGCAGGCTCTTCACTAGCCTGTTCAGCCTTGCCTGATTGTGAAGGTATTGCCTGGCAGTGTGGGAACTGTTTTGTTTCCGTGGAGTTTGTCTGAATGGTTCTTTTTCACCTGTTTATTGTGTGTTGTTGTGTGCGCCCACATGCCACAGCACACACATGGAGGTTGGATAAGGGGGTGGGGTTTCAGTACCAGATATATAAAGTGAGGGAGCCTGTCCCGGAACTAGCTCTTGTAGACCAGGCTGGCTACCACCGCCTGGCAAGGGGAAGGTTTTTGTTTTTTGTTTTTTTTTTTAATTTTTATTTAACTTTATTTCATGTACATTGATATAATGATGTCAGATTCTCTGGAACAGGGGTTACAGACAGCTGTGAGCTGCCATGTGGGTGCTGGGAATTGAACCCGGGTCCTCTGGAAGAGCAGTCAGTGCTCTTAACCACTGAGCCATCTCACCAGCCCAAGGGGAAGGTTTTTTTTTTTAAACATTTTTATGGTTTATTTAACTTTATTTTATGTGCATTGGTGTGAAGTGTCAGATCCCCTGGAACTGATCTTCAGACAGTTGTGAGCTGCCATGTGGGTGCTGGGAATTGAACCCAGGTCCTCTGGAAGAGCAGTCTGTGCTCTTAACCACTGAGCCATCTCTCCAGCCCCCCAAGGGGAAGGTTTTTAATTGAAAACATGATGCCTATGGAAGAGTCCAGAGCAGGGGAAGAAAGCAGGACGAGACATGTCCAGTAGACTGAACTGGGCCATGGTACTGGGCAAAGAGAAGAGTTAACTGAGAGATGATCCCAAGAAGCCACCAAAGCCGGGCGGTGGTGGCGCAGGCCTTTAATCCCTGTCTCAAAGGACTAGGACAGAGAGGGATAGATAGAATGGGACTTTTTTTTTGCCCTCCAGCCTCCCCTTGCCTGTGCACACTCCATGTACATGCATGGGCACACACATACCTGGGACACGGGTTTGTGGCTTGTGCAATAGTTGCTGTCAATTGTGCCGCAGAAATTCATGGAGCTCATCGGCGTCACCCAGGGCCAGATGACCGTGCTGAGGCTCACGGAGCTGCTGGAGCGAGGAGAGCGGCTGCCTCGGCCTGACAGGTGTCCGTGTGAGATCTATCTCCTCATGAAGAACTGCTGGGAGGCAGAGGCCTCCTTCCGACCCACGTTCCAGAATCTTGTGCCTATCCTCAAGACAGCCCAGGAGAAGTACCAAGGCCAGGTGCCTTCAGTGTTCAGTGTGTGCTGACGGTCAAGGGTGTCGGGATAGATGGGCCCCACAGAGAAGCCTCCACACGCTCTACACCTTACTCTTGCCTGGAAACCCCTATCAGTAAACAGACAACTTTTCCTTCCTTGACCATGAACCTGAACGGACCCTGGATGTGCAAAAAGGCCAAATGGATCCTCGAGTCTTTCATTTGGGTCTGTTCATTGTCACAGTGGAGACCCATCATCTTTACCAGCTGGGAGGAAACTGTTTGCTTTGCTGGACGCCTGAGGGCTTTAGGGTCCGTATTGAGCAAGGTGGCACGGCTGGTGTGCAGATAGAATGAGACTTCAGAAGAAGCTGGACACTTCTGATCACCCCTCAACCACCAGCCAAGCTGGGCTGTGACTGGCAAAGCCTGTGCTTAGCAGCGGGGAAGACCTGGGTTCCTTCCCTAGCAACCAAGCCACTAGCTAGATCCGTTCCCAATAGACAGAAGGCACCCGATAACTGCTTGCTGGAGGCTGGGGAGATTGCTCAGTCAGTGAAGCACTTACAGAAGTGCTTGCTTTACAAGCATGAGGATGTGAGTTCAATTCCCAGCTTGTCCCAGTACTGGGGAGGAAGAGACAGAAGCTCCCTGGGGCTCACTGACCAGCAGCTTAGTCCGTTCAGTGACACAGGCCAGTGAGAGTCCCTGCCTCCAAACAGGGTGTGACAGTGCCTCAGAAAGAGTACCCAGAGTTGTCCCCTGACCTCTGCACAAACACATGGCCACACACCTGCGTATGCACTTGCCTACACACTCACAGGAGGGCCATTTGTCACACACATGGAGGTCCTGTGTGACCTCAGGTAAATGTCTTGATCTCTGGGCCTCATGTCTCAACTATGGGGATGGTCAGCCTTTCTACCTCATAGGACTGATGAAGAGCACTGACGATTGTGCTTAAACTGCTTAGGAGGAGACACAGATAAGTGTTTAATAAATGTTTATTACCATTCTGGTGTTTTCGATGAGGAGGTGAGATTGAGACAGGCAGTGGAGTAGATGCAGTTGTGAGCGGCAGAGAAATAACTGCTCCCCAAGGGTTTCTAAAGACATCATGGAGGCTGGGCGTGGCAACACAAACTCTTCGTCGTCGCAAGCAGGATGGGCTGTGGGCCATGTGCTCAGAGGTAGAGCTCCTGCCCGCTGTGCACACGGCCCTTGATTCTGTCCCAAGGGCCACAAATGGACTATGAGGGTTTTTTTTGTTTGTTTGTTTTTGTTTTTTGAGAAAGGGTTTCTCTGTAGTTTTGGAGCCTGTCCTGAAACTCTCTGTAGACCAGGCTGGCCTTGAACTCACAGAGATCAAGTGTTGGGATTAAAGGTGTGTGCCAACACCGCCCAGCCAGAAATGAGTTCTTAAGCCACATAAAGCCATAGGGATGGCCTAGTTTGCAAAGCGGGAAGCACACTTGTGCTGCAGCTGTCCTGGATATGTGCCATTGCTTGCTGTTTAATGGACTGGGGGTGTTGGTACCATGAGAGGGCACCATGTCCGTCAGTCCAGGTTCTGTCAAGATATATTGAACTCGCTGCCCTACTACCTCAGTGCCCCAGCCTCCAGGAGACGAGGTCATATCACCAAGCCCAGTCACGTACAATCTTGTTTAAAAAATTTGAGAGGTGATTTTGATGGAGCACGCCTTTAATCCCAGCACTCAGAAGGCAGAGGCTGATAGGTCTGTGTGATATTCAGGTCAGCCAGGACTAGAGAGTGCGACCTTGCCTAAAAAAATTCACTATTGCTGAGCGATGGTGGCACATGCCTTTAACCCCAGCACTTGGGAGGCAGAGGCAGGTGGATCTCTGTGAGTTCGAGGCTGGCCTGTTGTACAGAGGGAGTTTCAGGACAGGCTCCAAAGCTACAGAGAAACCCTGTCCCGAAAACCAAAGTCACTGTTGCATCAGTGCCAAGACAATTTCCTCAAAGACTTATTTCTTTACTCGCCCGCTGTATTTCTTTACTCGCCCGCTATAGTTTGGTGCATGGAGGATTTTTGCCAAAGGCCTGGGACCTGCTCATGCCAAGCCGCTCTCCTCACTGTTTCAGAATCCTTCTGTTTCTCGGTTGCACTAGTTTCTTTTTTTCCATCACAACCTATTTGTGGTTGGATCCAGGTGTGCGGCAGGTGTCCTGCAGGCCAGCTTCATGTCTGTTACACAGCATTTTGCCAGCCAGCGTTCACCTGTCTCATTCACTTCTTTCTGGGCAGGGTTCCTTCCACAGGGAGTGCCCAAGACTTCCTTGGTTTTAACTTCAAGAGGTTTTTGTTTGCTTGAGACTGTTTCTCTGTGTAACAGCTTTGGCTGTCTTGGAACTCACTAACATCTGCTTACCTCTGCCTCCAGAGTGCTGGGATTAAAGGCATGTGCCACCACTGTCCAGCTCCTGCAAGAGGTTTTAAAAGATTGATTTATTTTTATTATGCGTACGAGAGTTTTGCCTGCATATATGTAAAAGTGTACCACACAAATGCCTTATGCCTGATGAGGCCAGAAGAGGGCAGCAGATCCCCTGGAACTTGAGTTACAGGCAGTTGTGAGCTGCCTTGTGGGGTGCTGGGAATCTAACCCCACCCTTAGGAAGAACAGCCAGTGCTGATAACTTCCAGAACCATCTCTTCGGCCCTCTAGTATTATTCTTTAATCTGAATGTTTTGTGTGATGTGTGTGTGTGCATACGTGTGTACATACATGTGATGTATGCATGCATGATGTGTACATATGATAATGTGCTGCTACGTGCTTGTGTGCATGTGATGTACACACGCGTGTGATTTCTGAATGCATGTGTGCATGTGTGATAATAGTCATTGTGTGCGCATGTGTGATGTGTACATGTACTGCTGTGTGCTTGTGTGGATGTGTATGTGCATGAGTAATGTATGCGTGTAATGTGTGCATGTAATAATATGCGTGTACTTGTGCGCATGTGATGTGTGCAGGAGTGATGTGTGTGTGCTGCTGTGTACATGTGATTTGTGCATGGATGTGCTGTACCACTTCTGTGACAATGTTGCGTAGTCCTAACTTTTTGCCTTGTTGGAGGCAGGGGACAGCGTTCCTTTTTTTAAAAAACAAAAGACAAAGTCCCTCTATGTAGGCAACTATCCTGAAACTCACTATGTAGCATGTAGACCAGGATGTCATGGAAATCACGGATTTTCCTGCTCCTGCCTCCCGAGTGCTGGGACACCATGCCTGGTCTGAGATAGTGTCTTTTGATCACTGCTGTGTATCCAGGGCTCAGTAGCCTGCCAGCTTCTTAGGAGTCTCCCAACTCCGCTCCCATTTTGCCGTAGAAGCACTGAAATTAAAAACGTGTGTTACAGGGGCTGGAGAGATGGCTCAGTGGTTAACAGCACTGGCTGCTCTTTTAGAGGACCTGAGTTCAATTCCCAGCACCCACATGGCAGCTCATAGTTGCCTGGAACTCAAGTTTCAGGGGATCTGACACCTTCACAGAGACATACATACAGGCAAAACCCCAATGTACATGAAATAAATAAATCTTAGCCAGGCAGTGGTGGTAGCAGCGCACGCCTTTAATCCTAGCATTTGGGAGGCAGAGGTACGAGGATCTCTGTGAGTTCAAGGCTAGCCTGGTCTACAAGAGCTAGTTTCAGGACAGGCTCCAAAGCTACGGAGAAACCCTGTCTCAAAAAACCAAAAAAAAGGTGGCTGGAGAGATGGCTCAGAGGTTAAGAGCACTGGCTGCTCTTCCAGAGGTCCTGAGTTCAACTCCCAGCAACCACATGGTGGCTCACAATCATCTGTAATGAGATCTGGTGCCCTCTTCTGTACTGCAGGATACATGAAGGAAGAAACCTATATACATAACAAATAAAAATCTAAAAAAAAAAAAAAAAGAGAGAGAGAGAGAGAGAAATTTATTTTTTATTTTGTATCTGTTCCAAGGTGAGCAAATGGAGGTCAGAAGACAATTTGAGGAGTAGGTTCTTCAGCCTTTATATGTGTCCTGGGGATGGGACTTGGGCCATCAGTCTCTGAAGCAAATGGCTTTACCTGATAAGCCCTTCTGCTGGCCTGCCTTTTCTTTTCTCTCACTCTCTCTGTTTTGAGGCAGGCTTTCTCTTTGTAGCCAGGGATAGCCTACAGTTCACTATCCCACCAGATGTCCCTTTCAATTAGAGACTCAGAAAGCCCAAAGAAGACTGAGATTGGGTGGGGGAGGGGGAGAGAGAGGAATGCCCACCTGGACCCTTGGGCCCTTCTCTGGAGAAGAGGGCTAGTTAGCAAGGATACAGGAGAGTGGGTGAAGAAAAGGAGCTGGAGGTGTAGGGCCCAGGGCAGCCTGACCACACACGGGGCCCAGGCCGCACAACTGCCCTGGCAGGCAGCACTGGGTTCCAGGAACATCCATAAGCTGACACCATCCAGGGAAGGCCAGCATCTAAAGGGAAGTACCTGACATTCCAACCATCAGATAAGATCACCTGATGTCCGTCAGCCCAGGAATCACCTATTCTACTTTTGCCAAGCCCCCTAGACAAATGTCAGCCAATCAGGGTCCTGAACCCTGGAAATCCCCTCACCCCAACCTCTACTATGATAAAAAAAAAAAAAGCCCTACCCTGACTTGGCTTGGCGCTCTCTGCTCTCAACAGCTGTGTCAGATAGACCGAGGGTCCAAGCTTAAGAGTGACTAAAGGCTCTTTCCTTTTACATGCAAGTGCAGACTCTGGTGGTCTTTGGGGGACCCCGTGATCTGGACATAACAGAGGCATGGCTCATTAGTAGATTTCCCACTGCCTAGAATCTCCCAGTGAGGAGCTAAACGTGATTAGTGGTAGAGCCTCTGCCTAGAATCTTCCACCTATGGACTCTGAGCATGGCCCCACCTGTGAGACTCTATTCAATCCCCTGTGGGAGTGCTGTCTTCATCTGTTGACTGAACCTCTCAGCAAGCTGAGTCAGGGTTCCTTGAGTCCAGGCACTCAACCTCAATTCATCCAACACAACGAGATCAGGATGAATAAAGAAGGAAGTCTGTCATAGGAATGTAGAGACAGCTTAATGATGTGCACTGTTCTTCAAGAGGATCTGAGTTCAGTTCCCAGTACCCATGTCAGGTGGCTGT